ATTGCTTTCTTGGGCGACGATGAATCTGCCCCGGATAATGATGAAACGCAGTTTAAGAATAAGGTCATAGGAGAAAATGACATTACCCTCCACTGTGTTGATCAGATTTATGGAGTGTTTGATGAGAAGAAAAAGACTCTCTTTGGACAGCTGAAGAAGTACCCTGAGAAACTCGTCATCCACTGTAAGGACCTCCGGGTATTCCACTTCTGTCTGAGGTACACAAAAGAAGAGGAAGTCAAAAGGATTGTCAGTGGCATAATTCATCATACCCAGGCCCCTAAACTGCTTAAACGATTGTTTCTGTTTTCCTACGCGACTGCAGCACGAAACAATCCAGCTACGGACCCCAAGAAGCACGCCATAATGTTTGACACACTTCAGGACTGGTTTCGGGAGCTGGAGCGGACCAAAGGCAACATGAAGTACAAGGCAGTGAGTGTCAATGAAGGCTATAAAGTCTGTGAGAGGTTGCCAGCATACTTTGTCGTCCCTGCCCCTCTTCTCGAAGAGGACATAGCGTTCTTCCAGGGTCATGGCATACCAATATGGTGTTGGTCCTGCCACAACGGATGCACCCTCTTGAAAATGTCGGCCCTGCCCAAAGAACAGGATGACGGCATGTTGCAGATCCAGAAGAACTTCGTGGATAGGATTTACAAGACTGTCCACAGGCCCCCCTATGAGACTGCTAAAACTGAAGACCTCTCAAGCAACTTCCTGTCCCTGCAGGAAATCCAGATGGCTTACTCTAAGTTCAAACAGCTGTTTCTGATAGATAACAGTACTGAATTTTGGGACACAGACATCAAATGGTTTTCCCTGCTGGAAAGTAGCAGCTGGCTGGACATAATCAGGCGCTGCCTGAAAAAAGCAGTAGAGATTATAGAATGTCTAGAAGCCCAAAACATGAACGTTCTTCTTTTAGAGCCTTGTCCAAAAGGAGTGGATCATGGGTGGGCACTGCTTCCTGGACCGCTGCAACCACCTCCGTCAGAGCGACAAGGAGGAGGCGCCCGTGTTCCTGCTCTTCTTGGACTGCGTGTGGCAGCTGGTGCACCAGCACCCCCCAGCGTTTGAGTTCACGGAGACGTACCTGACCGTTTTGTCGGACAGCCTGTACATACCTATTTTTAGCACTTTCTTCTTCAATTCGCCTCATCAAAAAGATACGAACGTGGGCAGGGAGAGCCAGGACTCACAAAGCAAGCCTTTGAATCTGCTCACCGTGTGGGATTGGTCCGTGCAGTTTGAACCCAAAGCCCAGACGTTGCTCACAAACCCTCTACGTGGAGAAGCCAAAACTGGAGAAAGCCCAGCGGAAAGGAACGCATTTCAAACATCAAAGACAACTTTCTCTGCCCCTCACCCAATCGAAATCATCTCCCAAAAGAGGATTTTTCAGGGAAGAAACAGATCACTTAATTAAAAACCTGCTAGGCAAGAGAATCAGCAAACTGATCAACTCCTCGGAGGAGCTGCAGGACGGCTTCCGAGAGTTCTATGACGGCTGGCACAGCAGGCCCCCCAGCTACCAGGGGCTGTTGCTGCCTCACCTCGAGGGCCCGGAGATCAAAGTCTGGGCCCAGCGCTACTTGCGCTGGATTCCAGAGGCCCAGATCCTGGGTGGCGGTGGAGTGGCCACCATGAGCAAACTCTTGGAGATGATGGAGGAAGTCCAGCGCCTACAGGAGAAAATCGAGGCGAGACACCACAGCCAGGAGGCCCTCCAGGCAGAGGCTGCCTCGCCACCGAGGACCTCGGGCCGCCTGTCCTCCTTGTTCCCTTTCGCGCTGCTGCAGCGCCATCCCTCCAAGCCTGTCCTGCCCACCAGCGGGTGGAAAGCCTTGGGAGACGAAGACGACTTGGCCAAGCGAGAAGACGAGTTTGTGGACCTAGGGGACGTGTGACTGGCCTGCTCGGTGGCGGTGAGAGAGGACCCTCGCAGGCTGGGACAGGAGGTTGGATATGTCTGCTCTTCACGTCGGTGTGGAGGGCAAGCCTGGGTCTTCTGGAAAAGAGCTGGTTCTCATTTCTCACCGCCCCCAGTTCTGAAAGACTATGCAGTTGACTACCCGTATTTGAGTATTATTGAAAGGAGTTAGTGCGTGATCCGTAATAGAGCTGTGGCCAGGGTCCTCTGCGTTAGTAGCACTCGGACCCCACGGTAGCTACTTTACTACTTAGAAAGGGCTTTGGTTAGCTGTGCTTGGACGCTGTACGGTCCTCACATCTTTCCTGTGCCAGCGTGCTTTATCCAGTCGTCAGGAGTAGCGTCTCTCTAGCCCATCCTGGTTCAGAGCAAGTTCAGCTTTACATGATATGTGTGTGTGTATGTGTGTGTGTTGGATTAACAGATTCAGACAGCGTTGTTAAGATGTGTGGCCTTCATTTCCAAACCGTAGCAGTTTTCCTGTGTCCTCTTGCCATGCGTGTCACCATCCTGACGTTCCCGACCACCCTCAGACTGTGTCACTTTATGTGGGGGCGGGGGGCTGGCTCGTGGGCCGACTGCTCCAGGTCCCCCCCACCCTGCCCCACCACCGGCTGTGCACCCCTTTCCACCATCCCTGCACACTCCCCGCCTTGGTGTACCTCGTCCTGGGATCTTGCTGCTAAGCCTGTGGGTCAGACTGGGGGAATCTCTTAGGTTTGCCCAGAGGAGCCTCCATTCTCCCGGAGGCACGCAGTGTTTGAAAGAGGTTGCTTCACCTTTTTCCAACAGCATGCCAAGGCTTCAGAGTGTCTGTGACCGCCGTCCTCAGGCGGTGTCCCCAGTTTCTGCTACCTTACAGCCCAGTGAGGATCACTGTTGAACATGGCTATCATAGGGAAGCGGTCAAGCATAAGTCTCAGAAGTGATGGTGACCACATAGTACCTCAGCGATTTAAAAAGCCATAGAAGAAACTTGACTATGCCTGGTAACCTTCCTGGATCTGCTGTTTAAATGATCTATAGTTTTTAAGTGCCAGAAAAGCACACTTAGTGAAGACCTGTTTTTTCATTCTCCGTGGAAACCTGTTCAGTCCACAAAAGGAAGTGGGAAAAATTATCAATCTCACGTCAGAATGTTCCCTATCAGAAGTTTGCCTTTTATACCTGTTTGCTCTCCAGTGTGGATTCCAATTTGAACATTACCTGTTTAGAAAAGCTTTCAGTTGCTGAAGGGCAATAAGAAAATTTGAAACTGTTGACAAAGAGGAGTTTCTCGGTTTGCACTGAATCGTCTTTTGTACACCACAAGAAATTGCTTTGCAGTCCTCCCCATGCCATGTTGATGCTCAAGCCTTGTTGGTCTGTTCAGACGATGGAGATTGAGGGGAGGGCAGGATTTATGCATCTGGGGCCAAACACATGCCCAGTCTTGGTTGCCTTAAGAGTCTCACTAGTAAGGTCAGTGTAGGCTTGCAGTGGGGACTATAAAATGACCCTAATTCATTGGTTATGTTCTGTGGGCCTTCTTAAATTAGCACGAACCTCCTTCCCCTGCCCCACTGCCTCCCAGATACACTATGGAGTTAACTAGTTTTGTTACCATATTATAATGGGAATATTTATACAGTAGCCTCTTCAGTCTTAAGATCTTAGTAATTTTCATTCCAAAAATGCCCGGTGTGATGCTTTACACTCCATAAAGTATGGTTTAAAGGCACAAGGTCATGGCCCCTGTCATAGCAGTTGAATGTGCATTGAAATATTTTTCTATGATTTTTTTAAAATAAAATTACAATAGAAGAATAAGCTGTTTTAACATGTAAGGTCATGACAGTTTATGTATTTATATCTGAAATGAGATTTCTATAAACTTGTATTTGTGTATAGGATTCTCAGTGGATTTATATATTGTGACATTTTTATTCAAGATTGAGATATGGATTATGGTTAACAGTAAAAGCTAAAATGAGATCATTTACTTTGTCTAAAATGCTGCACTGTGCACGTTTGGAAATGTGTATTAATTTCCTGTATATAATATCTTGAGTTTGTTTATACCTCCAGGTTTTTACACTGAAGATAAATTAGCTTTAATTACATTAGAAACTTTTTTTTTTTTTAAGGGAATAAGCTGTTGGGCTAAATCTGTATAAATGTGCTTTTTATTTTCTGGATGTTCAATGAAAGTTTATACTTGTATTTCACTGCATCGTATCTGATTGCAGAAATTAAAGCACAATTTACAATACTGTAAAAAAATAAATAAATAAATAAAGGAATAGTCATTGGGTTTCAGAAACTAAATGTAATCACATGCAATCCCTCCCCTCTTTAATTATTAATACTTCCCACATAAGGGCTTCCCAGGTGGCACAGTAGTAAAGAATCCGCCTGTCAATGCAGGAGACTTGAGTTCTGTTCCTGCGTTGAGAAGAGGCAACCCACTCCAGTATTCTTGCGTGGAAAATTTCATGAACAGAGAAGCCTGACGGGCTACAGTCCAGGGGGTCGCAAAGAGTTGGATACGACTAAACACACACACACACATTTCCCACATACACACACACACACACACACACACACTTCCCATGTACACACACATCCCTTATGCTATTCTTCCCTCTCTTGGCATTACCTGTTTTATAGACATTAGGTTACAGTATCTCACCCACAGCCCAACAAAATATTAGCTCTCATTAGGGCACATAGTATATTTTTAGCCCCTAAACCACCTTTTAATATACAGCATTTGCACATTACACACATCATACATCAGACATTTCACATGCTCATAGGCCTGAACCAGTTACCTCTATGCCTCAGAAATGTCCCACCTGCTGAGAAAAAGAATCCTGCTGGATTTATTGGGAGAGCTGATGCTAAAATGGAGCCTTTTCCCAAGTCTCTTTCAGTAGGTGTTTATTAGAGAATCTACACAGTTAACTGAAGCAGTCCCAAGGAAGAGCTCAATATCTGTGTGTTGAATTGAATTCAGGTAAATGAAACCAGCAGCTGGTTTTGAAAGGAACAGAACATTTCTCTTGATTTCCCTTCAGGGCCCATCATGGCATCCAGTCCCACTGTGTTGATGCGGTTGGTGGCTTCAGCATATTCTATTGCTCAGAAGGCAGGAACGATAGTCAGGCGTGTTATCGCTGAAGGAGACCTGGGCATCATTGAGAAGGTACTGAAAGTCTCATCTCACTTCATACGAACTTCATTATTGTTCATTGAGGTTTAGGTAAAAGGATGTACTAATCTAGACACACTAATAGTTGAAGTAGTCAGTGGCTTCCTTATGGAGATTGCAAGACCCTTAGTTCAAATGGGTTCCATTTCTGCTCTGAAAAAGACTCCAGACTTCCTACATCCAAAGCTTTTATTTGTATGACTGGGTCTTCTGACCACTGTCCAGCTCCAGAGTGCCGGAACCAAGCTTCATATCCTGAAATAATCTACTTCAGGCAGAGTCGTGCTGTCCTTAGTGTACTTTGACGTGTTTGGTCAAATCTGGCATTTAAACAAATATCCCTTATAGTCAAAGATTTAGATTTTTTTTTTTCTTCATGAAAAAGAAACCTAAAGCCAAGTTTTTCTTTCCAGTATGATAACTAAAAACTTGGGTAAATTATCAGAAAGATAGTTTAGAGTTGTAGTTGATTCTTAAAAGAAGTCTCACCCTGCATGTGTTCTAGTTTAAAACATAATTTCTTCCACAGGACTTGTTATTTCACATGACAAATTTGACTTTTCGTCATAATCATTAAGTTTTTCCAAAGTGGGAAAATTTTAGGATATTATAAACATTTTGATGGTTTGAAATAGAGATGTAGTTTAAACATTCCTTTATGATAAGTCAAGCATCTACTTAAGGCTACTTGTATAAAAAAACAAGGACCTTATATAAAAGTAAAAAAAAAAACTTAGAAATAAGTTCCTGTGAACTAATTATAAGATTTTTAGCATAACTGCTTTTAAAAATTAAGACTAAAAATCACAAGAACAAATGAAGTAAATCTCATTTCTTTTTTTGATAGATTTATGGGCTTAATAGTATAGGAAAGAGATATATAGGGTATTTTGATCTTGAAGTCAAAATTGATTTTGAATCAACCTTTTAAAAAAATGTTATAGTCCCTCATTTTCTGTTTTCAGAAAGTACTCAAGTTTTTTATAATATATAAATGACATCTTCCATCCCTTATCCTGAACCTTGGTTGATGTACTCATGACTCTGAACAATGTCAATGTTACCCCCCAGTTTTTTTCATTATTCACTTTCAACCTGGATAAGGGTCACTGGTGACAGATCAGAGGATTCTGCTCTTAACTGTCTTTCTCTCTTTAGCCATTAACTTAAATATAGTATAAAAAATTTATTGAATGCATCTTTCCCGAAGTGGTGTTGAAGAGGAGGCTAAAAAAAAGGATGCTGATCAAATTTGTCAATAAAAATGAAGCTGGGAGGGCTAGTTAATGTATTGGATCACAGAATAAGTATTCAAAATAGTTGCCAGCTCTGAGAAAGACGGGCCAAATTCAACAAGATGTTACAATAGAAAAATTATAGAGTCCCATATTCTGTGTTCAAGTACTTAGGAGTGAGTCTGATTCAAATTTGTTTGAAAAAGAGGTTTTAGTTGATCACATACATGCTCAATGACAGATTAAAACATTAAAACAATGACAGTGTAAAATAGCTACTTTAGAAGGCTACTGATCAAAAAAAAAAAAGAAGACTACTGATCTTGCTATCTTTTCTTTGTTATCGTTTTCTCTATTATGAAACATAGGAAGTGGAAAAAACTTGCAAAAAGTACAAAATCATCTATCAGGTCACTACTGCCAATATTTTGGATCATATCTTTGCATATTTTTCCCTTAGTATCACTTACTTTGTTTAAATTGATTTTCCGTTGTGATTATATTAGATGGGCCACTTTGTAGTGTATAGCTAAAGAGTAGTAGAAATACAGTGTTCAAGTTAGAAAAAGAGATAATAGGGATTTCCTTGGTGATACAGAGGCCAAGACTCTGCACTTCCAATGCAGGGAGCACAGGTTTGATCCTTGGTCGAGGAACTAGTTACCATATGCTGCAGCTAAGGGTTAGCTTGCCATAGCTAAAAGAATTTACATGCTGCAACAAAAATCAAAGATCCTATGTGCTGCAGCTAAGACCTGACACAGCCAAATAAATAAAAACGTATTTTTTAAAAAAGAAAGAAAAGAAAAAAGATAATCACTTCACTGTCCTCTCTACTGGTCAGATACTCTTAGTACTTTATATCCACTTGTTGATGCCTCATTTTAAAAGAGACAGGACAAAATCAGATTTGTCACACAAAATATCCAGAATGGTGAGGTCTGGCACTGTGTCAGTAGAAAGAGCAGGAAATGTCTTACCTAGCAAGTATTTGGGATAGCTTTCCTCATAGGGTTGAATGACTGTCATTGTGTCTTTTCCTCTGAAGTAATGGTTTCTAAACTTGACTGCTAAGTGAGTAATCTTCAATTTCAACAAACCTTTCTAGTAGTTTCATTCCACAGTTGTTTACAGAGCACCTACTATGTGCCAGGCACAGTTCTTTAGGAAATAGAACAAAGTTCTCTGCCTTTGCAGCTTTGTTAGGTTCTGCTAGAACCTTTCTAGCAGAATTGTTCTTTGCATTGAGATAAGCAGCAAACTTCACTGTGGCAGAAAAAAATTTGATTTTCACAGTCATTCCTTATCTCATTACAAAGTATTACAAACATTCCTCCTGTTGAAGATAACCTGTAAATCTACCTAAACAGGCATGTATAAATTGTGACATATCCTAACTGGTTGAAAACAAGATAACAAAGTGGTCACTGTGTTTCATAAGTGTGGTTTTATAACATGTGGATTGAGTTGCATGCCATAGGTGAATTAAGTAGTAAATATTACTGCTGTTCACTTTCATATTTTTTATAGTTTAAAAATAAAAATTTTGAATTAAGAAATAATCATTCTGAGGACCTCTTGAATTATTAAAATTAGGATTAGTGAGTGAAATTTATAGAAGAATCCATATCAGAAATACTGTTAACTGCCTTGAAAAATGTATAAATTTCCTGTCTTGTCAACCTACTTGAGCAAAAGATTAATGTAGAGATCTGATAAAAGGAATTTATGAGCTGGGGCAGAAAATGTTCTAAATAATTTAAAAGCTTGTTTCCCAACTTTAGCCACTAGAAGTCCCGTGAGGAAAACCAAGCCAAGAAACTAGCTGACTCATGATGTTAAGCTCCGTCAGTCTTAAAACAGACTGTAATTTAAATGGATATAGATAATCACATGAGACATCAAAGAACAACTTATTTTTTTACTAATTCTGCTAAAATGTACTTTCTTTGTTGCAGACCTGTGCAACAGACCTGCAGACCAAGGCTGACCGATTAGTTCAAGCAAGCATATGTTCTTCATTGGCACGGAAGTTCCCCAAACTAACAATTATAGGGGAAGAGGTAAGACTTGTCAGGGATACATACTGTGGTTTTTTTTTTTTTATCCCTGTTCACCATATGGATTTGTAATTGTCACTTTTTATACACTACTTTTATGATTGCAAGCATTATATTTTTGTGTTTTAACATAAAAATAACTGTGATGTTCCTTGGACTTTCAGGAGATGTCTGCTTTTAATATTTTGGTCTATTTCTAGACCAGATGTCTCAGTTCTTGACCACAGACAATATGGTTACGCTTGTGACATTCAGCATACAAAGTATAAGATGAGCAGAATTCTCCAGCTTTGAAATAAAATGAGTTTTGTTGTCCCTGTTTTTTTTTTTTATTTAACACTTACTTGCCTATTTATTCAAAGACTAACACTGTGAAGGTGAAGGAATTGACATCTCATATATTTGAGAGTAAGACATAGCTGATATCAGAGCCACTTGTATAGATAAGTGTATAATACTTAAACATTCTTTTGTTTTTAATCCTTGTTCAGGATAATGAAATTAGAACCCTTTGTAATTAACTTTGATGAGCCATATGTGATTTGTTTTTACAATTTTATTCAGTTAGCTCTAAAAGCTCCAAATAGAAATGGTAAACAGAAAGAACTAGTGAAACCTATGATGCTGCATTACTGGTTACTGAGACAGAGGGTATTCTGTAAACAGGAAATAGCTTCGGTCATCACCAGTATTCCCTGCTTTAGGATCTGCCTCCTGAAGACGTGGACCAAGAGCTGATTGAAGATGGTCAGTGGGAGGAGATACTGAAGCAGCCGTGCCCATCACAGTACAGTGCTATCAAGGAGGAAGATGTATGACCCATACTATTACTTACCTCTCTATTAATCTTCTGTTTTTGTTGTAGTAAAGGCAATAAAGTCTGCCATCATAATAAAAAGTTGGTAGTTATAAAAAACAGGGCAACCAGGAACCTGAAATCTTTTAGAGCCAACGTAGAAATGTCTGGCAACCACATGGGATGCCTCACCTGTTAATTTTGAGTTCATTGTCTCATTCTGTTGATTTCCTCTTCACTCTAAAACTGTTACTAAAAATAGGTTTGGGGGAATTCCCTGGTGGTACAGTGGTTAGGGGCTCTGTGCTTTCACTGCCAGGGCCCAGGTTCAATCCCTGGTTGAGGAAGTAAAATACCACAGGCTGCATGGTATGGCCAATGATAATAATGATGATGATGATAATACTTTTAGGGAGAAAATCTAACTTGTTATTTAGTAGATTTGATAGTAACACTTTTCGTGGGTAATTGGAACTGGAAAGTGATCACTGGAACTGAAATGGATCACTGCCTTATATTTTTGGAAGGCCGTAAAAATTATCCCCCTTGCTTTTTATAGTTGCTTAAATTAAATCTGTGACTTCAAATAGCTATTATACTTCTTTAATTTTCACGTTTTAGTTTATTTAACACACATTCGTTGAGCACATACTATGAGTAAGGTGCTTTGTTCTGTGATATGGAGTATAGAAAGAAAATTCATGGTGTCTTCCATCATATGTATGCCCTCATAAATTCACATCAAGTGTTGTTAATTCTAGTGGTTCATGACTGCATATCCTGAATCGTATTAAAAGTCCTAAGAAGAGAGGATTTCTTGTCTATTCTATTTCAGTCTTATAAACGATTCATTTTTCTTGGCCATATATACAGTGTGTCCTTAAGATAGTCAAACTGTCATTATTTTTCCTAAATCAGCATTTATATATAAAAATGAGTAGCATCCACACAGCACATTTTTGGTGCCACTTTAAAGTTTTCCTTGTATCACGATCTGGAGCTCAGGATGTTCATGGCAATGTATTGTAGTTGTTTAGGTGACAATAAACTTTTACCAGTTCAGCATTTTATATTTTAAAAAATTTTATTGAAATACAGTTGATTTATAGTGTTGTGTATCTTTTATTACAAAATACTTTTTTACTATTTTTCTTTGATTATTACAAAACTGATGACATTGGCTTAAGCCTCCCATAATTTTGGAAATGAAAAAGATAATTTTTAGTTCATCTATTTACATCAAATTTTTTTTTTAATTTCTGTTTTTTTTGGCTGCTCTGTGAGGCTAGCAGGATCTTAGTTCCCCAACCAGCAATTGAACCTGGACCCATGGCATTGGAAGTGAGGAGTCCTAACCACTGGACCATCAGGGAATTTCCACTTTTTAAATTTTATATGCTTAATTTGGACACATCCTCTTTTTTAGCTTGTGGTCTGGGTTGATCCTCTGGATGGTACCAAGGAATATACCGAAGGTTAGTATCTCTTTTACATTTGTCTTTTATATCTGTATTTGGCAGCAATAGGACTAGTATATGATGTCCAGCTCAAATACCAATCCCCCCAATACTCCACCAGTCCCACAACCCGAAGGTCCCATACACAAGAATAACTGACATTAAACCAGTGTAACCAAAGAGACTGTACTGAACCCCCAACTTTATTAGGTAGAAAAACAAGAGCATTGCTATACCACCTTGCTCTGCCATCATCCCATGGTGCGCATGCCTCACTCCCCTCCTCTGAGAACTGCTGTCTGTTCACAGCATGGCCTCTAAAGATGGGTTTTGAAACATAGTGCAATATTTCTCCCTCCTGAAATTATCTAAAATAAGCAGACTTAGAAAGCAGCAAATTAAAGTTGGCAACATTGAAGTGAACCGGACCAGGCTCAGAGCCAGAGTGGTAGATTTTAGGAGCACAGCATAAGCTTAGATCCTTATTTTTGAAAGAAAGATTAGCGTAGGTTTTCTTGTATTGGTTCTCAGCTTCATGGCTTAAAAAAAGAACATGTCTCATAATCCCTAGAAAAAACTTTCTCTGTCCGTGGATGAGACACATCTACAAGTGAATTCCGTAGTGTGTATGTCCAGGAAAGGTCTGTATAATCCATTGAGAAATAGAGCTCTAGACAGAATCCCAGGGACGGGGCAGCCTGGTGGGTTGCCATCTATGGGGTTGCACAGAGTTGAACACGACTGAAGTGACTTAGCAACAGCAGCAGCAGACAGTTTAAGTGAGTATAAGAGCACCTAAACAACTGGTTCAGATCTCAGCCCCCACGTCCAGAAATTTTGATTTACTAGTTCTGCAAAGGAGCCTAAGAATCTGTATTGAAAAATTGAGCCAGTTCGTTATTCTAATGCCATCTTTCCTGGTGGCTCAGATGGTAAAGAATCTGGCTGCAATGCGGGAGACCTGGGTTTGATCTCTGAGTCAGGAAGATCCCTGGAGAAAGGAATGGCAACCCACTCCAGTATTCTTGCCTGGAGAATTCCATGGACAGAGGAGCCTGGAGGGCAACAGTCCATGGGGTCTCAGAATTGGACACGATTGAGTGACTAGCACTTTGTTTCACTTTCATTCTGATCCTGCTTGTTAGTTCATCGTCCCCACTGTGAGAAATCTTAATTTAGAGGCTTGAAATGCAAATCTAGATGGTGATCCTGGAATCGAGAGTGATCTAGCAGGCAGAAGTGAGTCAGATGGTGATAGAGGGCAATGCAGAGGAATCTAATGATGGCTGTGGAGTTATGGCTGATTTACTTAATTGGTTTACAGATTATTACTAATGAGACTGTGTGTATCAATCAAGTCAATTAAGTGGACATAGTTCCTACTCCTGTCCCTGGTCAGCACTCTCTTATAATTTGTGTATTTTGCCAGAAGTAGGTTTAATCAAGGATGAATCACTGTAAATTCCTTACCTGTTATTGCAAAAATAACTTGGGAGCCATTGATGTGCTGCTGATGAGTCATAATATGAATTATGTAATTGATATGAGTTTTCTTCTTTTTAGGTCTTCTTGACAATGTAACAGTTCTTATTGGAATTGCTTATGAAGGAAAAGCCATAGCAGGAGTTATTAACCAGCCATATTATAACTACCAGGTATTACTCTTAAATGATCCCAAATATTTTTTCAGATAAATAATTATGGTGTTCTATGATTCTTAATGCTATCTAATCTAGTGGTTTCTAGCTTGGTTGCACCTGCAGTCTGGGGGAACTTTTCAAAGTAAGGATTCTCAGATCACACCCCGGATGTACTGAGTCAGAACCTCTGGGGGTGATGATACCAGGAATGTGTATGTATTTATATATACAGACACACTGTATGTGTTGCATATATTTTTTTACATATGCCTATGATTCCAATCATAAGCAAAAGTTTGGGAATTACTGATATGGTTCTTGATTAGCTTGGTCATTGAGACACCTGATTTACAGGTGGTGCTTGAAGCACATTGAAGAAATGAACCATTTCAACCAAGAATAGAGGCTAGGCCATGTTGTTTTGCAGGTAATTCCACATAATGCCTAAATTATGGTCAGCATTAAATAAATATGCTCTTGCACTGTTTCCTCTTATTTTGTCTCTCTAATCTGCTTTGACTTTCTACTATACTCAAGAAATTGTCTTTTTCTAGAATTGTTGTTCTTCTAGAATAAGAGGCTAATGTACTTCCAAATCAGGAATATTACCATTAGATCACACGAAATATTAAAGGAAATTGTTGAAATAAAATACTTAAGGTATTTACATTAGTGTAACCTTGATCGATCTTTAGAGAAAAAAGTAACCAGAATGGGGACTATTACTTCTGAATTTCCAAACTGAGTTAAGAGCAGGATTTCTACTTCTCAGATAACTTTGGGTTTTTTCCTACTGTGTATATAACTTTTTTAGTTATAATAATGTGCTTCTTAAGAGTGTCATGTAAACTTTAAAGTGAGCTAATACTGTTACTTAAAAGAGTGGCATTTAATTCATAGATAATATTGCAATGCATGGCACCATTTTTCAAGAAAAAGGTTTAGTGCTTTGGAGTTACTAAAAATTTCCATCATTTCTTTCTGAGAGTAGAATACTTGTATTCACTTTCCACAGAACAATGAAAATCAGAAGTTAAGGGAACCCAGGAATGACACAAAGGTGAGAAAAATAGCTAGGCTTTTGGCTCCACTGGTAGGTAGAAAGTGGTACCCCAGGCAGCCAGTGTCTATGCCATTTCCCAGCTCATTTTCCCTTGTTCTGCTTTTCTCCTTTGTTACCTGTCCTTTACCACCTCTCCTTCTGTACACTCTCTTTCTCTTTGCCTCTTCCTTCTCTCTTGCTTATGCCTTAAAATTTGTTGCAACAAGGAGAAAAGTCGCTCATCTTTGTTGGTAGTTTTCAAGGCTGAATGTTCAACTTAAAACCTTCATCATTTATCAGGAGCTTCCTGTGTACTGCCAGACTCAAGGACCTACATGCATTATCTCATTCTAACATGCTCCATCATTCTTTAAGGACACCTTCATCCCCATTCAAAAGATGAGGACACTGAGACAAATCACTTGCCCTGGTTGGTCACTGGCAGATCTGGGGTCTAAACCACAGTCCACACTATACTGTTCTCTTAGTCACATAAAGGACTTTTCACAATTCAGACTGTACTATTGCTTCTAACAGATACTGAAGCTGGGAAGCACTCAAATTAAAAGAGCGTGGCAGAACCTGCTGTAGAGCTCAGGGAACTCTTCTCGGTGCTCTGCAGTGACCTAAATGGGAAGGAAATCCAAAAGATCCGGGACACGTGTATGTAGAGCTGATTCCCTTTGCTGTATCGCAGAAACTAACACAACGTTGTAAAGCAGCTATCCTCTGATAAAAACTTTTAAAAAGAGAATTCTGAACAGGAAATAAAATTTTTAAAAAAAGAGCATGGCATCGTGCAAAGAAACCCAGTCTGTCTGAACATCAGAGCTAGCTCGTTAACCATGATGAATCTTACTTATCTCATCAGTAAGATGAATGTGCTAGCCTTTATGACATCCAGACAGTTGGTGTGGGGACCTTGAATGGGAGAGACAGTGAGAGAGGCTGAGAGATCAGGAGCTCAGAGGGAGGCTAGCCGGCTGCCTCGTGGGGTTTGCACTTACCTTGCCAGGGCACCAAGAGTCCAGGGTCCCATCCTCTTTGCCTTCATGTTTATTTACACAGGGCATGTGAGTTTTCTAGGGCCCAGAATACTCACGTATGTCCCCTTTTAAGTATGCTTTCCTTTCTTTTTCAGAATGACTAGAGAGCTGAATTAATAAGTAGGGTTTTTAAAAATATTTTTATTTATTATTTTTTAAATATTTTTAATTTTTTGGCCCCACAACATGTGGGATCTTAGTTCCCCAACCAGGGATCTCACCCACGCCCCCTGCATTGGAAGCATGGACCTTGACCACTGGACCGCCAGGGAGGGCCCCATTAATAGGTTTCTTGAGAGTATGAAGTTGGTCGCTGCAGTTGAGCTGAAGTGTAATGAGCACCCGGAGCTCATTACAGTACTCTGAAAAGCCCAGCCTCTCCTACGGTGTAGACGCGAGAGCAAACAGGAGAAGCAGGCGAGCATGCGCCGAGCCCCAGCGCCTGTTCTTTGGCTGTTCCTCTGTTGCCCATTTGCAGAGTGCTCTCAGCACTTTGGAGGCCAGCCTCCTCGCCTGTAAAGAACCGCCTCACCAGTGACACGCCCCTCCCGCAGGCAGTCAGTCCATTTCCAGTGACTGATGACTGGACCGATGTAAAGGCCTGGCATTTCATCCCAGTCTGGGATATGTTCTCCCCAGCGTGGTACAACCCTGAGGAGCCGTTCGGGCTCCAGAGCGCCCCCTGGGGTCGGCTGCAGCTGCGGTCGGATCTGCATCACAGCTGTTTCTCCCTCTGCCCACTGACACCACCTCCCCGCCTTTGCACAGTGTGGATCCCAGGGGCACTCCTTCGTAAACACCCGTCTTAACTCAGAGCCCGCTTCCCAGGGAATCCAGCCCTGCAACCCAAGCGTCTTTCACTATAACAGCACCCAGAGTACTACCGTAGGGTAAATAAGGTGGTGTGTGTGAAAGCATTTTGACAAGCGCGCTGAGGTAGATAGTCTAGTTCAGTGATGACAGATAATTGGCTTTGAACACAGATGAGCCTCAGTTTGATTATCATCTCCCTAGAGTCCTTGGAGAGGGAAACGACAACCCACTCCAGTATTCTTGCCTGGAAAATCCCATGGACAGAGAATCCTGGTAGGCTACAGTCCATGGGGTCGCAAAGAGTCAGACATGACTGAGTGACTTCGCTATACTATATACTGTAGAGTCCTTGGTCAGGTTACCGAATGATTCCAAAACTCCTTTTCCTCATCTGTAAAATAAGGATGATAATACCTGCTACATGGGACTGTTCCGAGGATTAAATGAGATAATACATGTAAAGCTCTTAGTATGGTGCCTGGTACATGTTTAGGTATTCAGTAAAAATACATGTCTGTATATCCACTGTATTGCTATAATGATATTTCGATGACTTTATGTTAACCATTGGGCATCAGGTTTAGTTTCCTCGAAATACAGGTTATGTTTTTCTATGCAAAGTCTATCGTTATAATAATATGGTTGAAAATTCTTTGAGCTCTGCAAAGGAAAATACAGATTCTGGGATTGCATTGTCATTGTCATTTTACCATAATTGTCAGTAAAGCTTTTTAACCCTGACCCCATTATCCATGGCCACTTTTCAGTATTAGCCTCTTCAGTCACTTTGTCTCTATAGCAGCCAAATATATTATCACCATTTCCTGTTCCCATAGTAATGTGATCCCTGTTGTTCCTTGGACAATGAAAAGTAATCAATGCATGGTATTTTATTTCCTGGGAATTTATGTACCTTTTGCAAAACAGCTCTTTGCAAATACAATAATGAGGCTGTTGGATAACTCTTAAGAGGACCAGGAATCAGTATGTGATATTGCCTTTCCTGAAGACTCCAGGCAATAACCAGAAGTTTCCTTCCATACTTTTGAAGTCCAGTTATTATTATTATTATTTTTTTTTTTTTTTTTTGTCTGGGCTGCATGTCTTGCAGGATCTCAGTTCCACAATCAGGTACAGAAACTGGACCACAGCAGTGAAACCCAGATCCTAGCTACTAAGCCACAAGGGAACTCCCAATTATTAACCAAAACAACAATGAGAAGAATCAGTTGATCCTCTGAAGAAAATTTCTTTGTCAATGATACTGTTTTGTACTTTATAACATTACCATTTTTTAAAAATCATGCTGCTAATGTAACTAAATGTTTTATTTACAATGAACCTTTTTCTCTAAGTGATGATAAACAAGCTTTGCTGTTGTTTCATCCATTTACACAGGCAGGACCAGATGCTGTGCTGGGGAGAACTATCTGGGGAGTTTTGGGTTTAGGTGCCTTCGGATTTCAGCTGAAAGAAGTGCCCACCGGCAAACACATCATCACAACTACCCGGTCCCATAACAGCCAGTTGGTTACGGACTGTGTCACTGCTATGAACCCTGATGATGTGCTGAGAGTGGGAGGAGCAGGAAATAAGGTATGAAAATCTGTCCATCATCTCCTCTGAAATGCAACTGAATCATTGAAAGAAATAACTGAGCTTTTACAAAATGTGAAATCAGAGTTTGGGAGAAGAGAAGAAAGATCATTATTTGCCATTAAAGACACATTTTAGCAACATTTGTGTTTTTTTTTTAAATGTTGTGGTTCAAGTCTTTTTTAATCTAAGAGAGTTCAGTGATAATATAGGTCATTTGCATAAGACCCCATGCCTGTTGCTGGTCCTTATTTTCTCAAGGACCTTCTTGGATTACTTCCTAGGTCGTCTATAGACTCTAAGAATGGGCCTGCCTGCCCCTCCCTGGAAGCCTCCCCTATTCATTCATCTAGGCCCACATCCTGAGAACATGGTGAAGTGAAACAGTTTGATCTCCATCCCTGATCTCCTCTCATCTGATTGCCCCTTGTTTATCATCATGATGACATCCTTCAGGCGCCTCAAATTCAGCTTCCCCAGTTGGAGCGCATCCTCTCTCTCTGCCTGCACCCAGATGTGTTCCACTCTCTACTTACTGTCTGCTTAATGGCATCGCCATTTTCCTAAGTGTTCTAGCCAGACACCTGAAAATCATCATGTCCTCCTCCCTTCCTCACATCCTATCAATCTGATCCTACTTACAGATCTTTTTGATTCTCCTCTAAAGTCTCGTCCATCTCAACTGCCAGTGCCCTAGTTGAAACCTATCATCATCCCACATCCGGACTTTCCAGCAGCTTCCAAAGTGGTTCCCTGTTCAAGGCCATATCCTCATAGTGCCACTAGAGCGATGAAAACTCGCAGCTTATCATGGCACTCCCCTGCACCACATCCCTGGGTGATTCCACTTCACAGCAGTTGAGAATGGAATGTAAATTCCTCTATATCCTGACACCCAAATGCCCCCAAGGATGTGTATTTCCCACTTGTGTGTCTGGGGAAACAAATGATAAATATTTATTGAACTGAATGGAATTCATTTCTCCTCCCCTACCCTTTGGAAGTGGGCTTCCCTCGTGGCTGAGATGGTAAAGAATCTGCCTGCAAAGCGGGAGACCTGAGTTCAGTCCCTGGGTTGGGAAGATCCCCTGGAGGAGGGCATGGCAACCCCTTCCAGTATTCTTGCCTGGAGAATCCCCATAGACAGAGGAGCGTGGTGGACTACAGTCCATGGAGTTGCAAAGAGTCGGACACAACGTGAGCGACTTTGTGAGCGACTGGGCACACACACCCTTTGGAAGCAACAATCAGCTATTTCTAGATTTTCCAAAAGCATTTGCTTCTAAGAGGGTGAAAATTGGAAGTAACAGTATTTTGAAAAAAATTTTTAAACATCTCAAAGTAAAAATATATTCCTGGTATTCCCTGAAATATGATTTCTCTTTACTTCTACTTTTGTAACTACAAAACCCATTACCTCTTTTATTCCCAAAGGGTACCATTCCCCGTTGGAGCAAAGTCCCCATCCTGCTCAACCTCCCACCTCTTTTTCTTCTGTGAAAAGACCTTGCTGGGCCGTTCTTAACTTTTCTGCGTCAAGGACTTCTTTGAAAATCTAATGAAAGTTACAGCTAGCCCCTCTTCTCTCAAAAAATATTCCTGGCATAGTTCTTGGCACATAATAAAGACTTGACACAGATATCTTCAAAGGAAGAGAAAGCTTTTACTCAGAAGTCTACAGCAAGGTTTAATGGTTTGAAGGTGTTCTTGAATACAGCAATCCTAAAAAGAATAGCTGGTTACCTTGTGTTCACTGAGGTTCTCCTCATTCTCCTGAACTGGTCTTTTCATCTCAATATTTGCAGTCTGAATTTTACAGTACTAGTTATTTCACAGTGTAACCAAAAAATAAGCCAAGTGACTAATGAGGGTCTGATAGGAAGCTTCTGTTTAGAGTCACACAGTTTCTGTTGGCAACCTTATTTTTGTATGAATATTACAGGTATTAGTAATACGAGTCTTTTAAAATTCACACTTTGGTAGCAAAAATAGTAACAGATATGATTCTAAAACATGGCTTCCCAGGAGGCTCAGTGATAAAGAATCCACCTGCAACGCAGGAGACGCAGGAGGTACAGGTCCGATTCTTGGGTTGGAAAGATTCCCTGGAGAAAGAAATGGCAACCCACTCCAGTATTCTTGCCTGGAGAATTTCATGTTCAGAGGAGCCCGGTGGGCTGCAGTCCATGGAGTCAAAAAGAGTCAGACGTGACTGAGCATACACATACACGTGAATCCTAAACAAAGACTTATGAAACTGCTTGTTGGATTAGTCAGCATCACACATCTATTAGAACTTATCACAACTTATACATTACTGTGCTGGTTGATATTTCTGTCTTAATCTTTACACAATAATGGTCAAATTTTTACAAGATTAAAAACTTTACTTTTTCTACAACAAAATATATATTGCTTTCACAATAAAAAGAAAAACAAACAACATAAAAAAGGGAAAACTTTATTTTCCTGACTTGGAATATGAAGACGCTTCAGATATCCTCCTTATTTGACTACTTCCCCCCCGCCCTCAGATCACTGTATAGTTACACATGTACTTTGTATGTTTCTTCATAATACTCGTGTCATTTATACCTGCTGAAGGCTTTAACCTAAGTTGAGTCTGACTGAGGGATCGAAATGCTTGAGAAAAAAAAACTGGCAGTTTCTCTTTAATGGTGCCTCAGTCATTTCATGGTCAAGGGATCATTATGCTCTTAACCTTACAGATAATTCAGCTGATTGAAGGCAAAGCCTCTGCTTATGTATTTGCAAGTCCTGGATGCAAGAAGTGGGACACCTGTGCTCCAGAAGTCATTTTACATGCTGTTGGAGGTTAGTCCATTTTATTTGGGGGAATTACAGGTTTTATACAGTTTTCATGTTATGCTCGGACATAATATTTCAGTAGTATTAATTGACCTAGACTCTTAAAATGTAAATGGTAGAAGGAAAGTTAGAGATTATACAGTCCAACCGCTGCGTTTTATATGTAAGAGAGTAGATTTCCAGCAAATTCATTCTTTAGTTAGTTTCTCCTTTGGACCTTGATCTGCACATAGTTAACATAATGAAATCCTTATTAATTTATGGCTTTAATGCTTTTAGGGTTTTTTCCCTTGACAAATAGAATTATTTATTGTGATTATCCTCACCTCAGTTAGTTTCTTCTAAGCCAATATTGGTAAATGTCTCAGGGCTAATGCTGAAGATCATAGACTTGGAATTTTTTTTCTGACTCCAAAAACACGACAGATACATATATAGCAAGATGATTTTTCACATTCAGATAGACTTCAGATCACATCTGTATTGGAGAAGGGGGTGCCACAACGCGTGGCTTATGGGATATTAGTTCCCCAACCAGGAATTGAAGCCACAGGCTTCCCTTGTGGCTCAGCTGGTAAAGAATCCACCTGCAGTGAGGGAGACCTGGGTTCGATCCCTGGGTCGGGAAGATCTCCTGGAGAAAGGAAAGGCTACTGACTCCAGGATTCTGGCCTGGAGAATTCCATGGACTGTATAGAGTTTGACACAAATGAGCAACTTTCACTTTCACAGCAGTGGAAGCACAGAGTTCTAACCACTGGATTGCCAGGGAACTCCTGTGATCACATCGACTCTTAAACACTTGATTTTCTGTCTGTCATTTCTCCTGGTACTTTATTGCATCAATGCCTCATTAGCACATTACGTGACAGGGAAGTTAAACAATCCCCATCCATTTTCATTCTCATTCAGACTTCCCTGGTGGTCCAGTGGTTAAGACTCTGTACTGCCAATGCTGGGAATGCAAGTTCAGTCCCTGGTTGGAAAACTCTGCTTACACGTCCTGCAACCAAGCCTGCCCACTGCAATTACCGAGCCCATGCCTGACTACTGGAGAAGCCAGTGAGCTGCAGTGAAGACCCAGTGCAGCTAAAAATACATTTTAAAAGGGGGGAGGGGCTGGCAGGAGAAAATTCAAAAAACAAAAAAAATGTTATATGAAACTGTAATATGACACAGTTATATTTTATGAGCATACTTCACGTAAACTCTTACCAAATAAAGTGTTACTGATAAATAGTAAAATGAAGAAAATACTTTAGAAAGCAGGAAATGTGAGTGATGGAATATAATCAATAAGAAAAGAATCACTCCAGAAAAAGAGAAATTAATTGATACCAAGAAATAGAAAAATTCCTGTTTTGTAAACCAGATTTCTCTAGGGCACAGTACCGGTTGTTACCTGAATCTCATTCTTGTCTTTCAGAGGAATGTAAAAAGTTTCCCTATTCCCATTGGGCATCCCGGATGGTCCTGTGGTTAAAACTCTGCGCTTCCAATGCAGGGGTCATGGGTTCAATCCCTGGTTGGGGAAATAAGATCCCGCATGCTGCACAGTAAGGCAAAAAAAAAAAAATACTAAATTATTTTAATCAAGGAGGAAAAAATAATGACAGCCTTCAGTTAGTCTTAAATTACAAGTGAAATTAACACTTAACCTTTGCAGTCCCTCCTCATCTTCCTTATTTTATCCAGCATTCATTGTATATTATTACATAGGGAAGCAAGAAACACTTAGATGATCTGATCAGTCACTGACGTTGTATTGATGTTTTTTCCACAGGCAAGTTAACCGATATCCATGGAAATGCCCTTCAGTATAACAAGGAGGTGAAGCACATGAACTCAGCCGGAGTTCTGGCCACATTGAGGAATTACGACTATTATGCAAGTCGAGTTCCCCAGTCAATTAAAAATGCACTTGTTCCTTAAAGGGAAATCTCGTCACCTCAGCCAGGAGAAGGACTTGGTTCTCAAAAATAATACATTTTAAAACTAATTGAATGGAATTTGAGCTCCACTTTTACTTCATTGTTGATCACCAGTTTACATTTGATTACTTAGAAGTATAAAATAGAATTTTTAAATGTCTTGGTAAATCAATCACCCAGACCAATTTTGACATCTGGAAAATTTGCAAGGTCACTCTGTGTCGCATTTCTTTTCCTCCTTTTATTTGGAGCATTGAAAGAAAAGTTCATTTCCAATTGGCTGTCCTGATCCATTGTTAAATCAACATTCCTATTTTGTAAACCAGATTTCTCTAGGGCACAGAACCAGTTGTTACCTGAATCTCATTCTTTTTTTTTTTTTTTAAAGTTGCAGGTTTTTTTTTTCATTTATTTTTATTAGTTGGAGGCTAATTACTTCACAACATTTCAGTGGGTTTTGTCATACATTGACATGAATCAGCCATGGAGTTACATGTATTCCCCATCCCGATTCCCCCTCCCACCTCCTTCTCCACCCGATTCCTCTGGGTCTTCCCAGTGCACCAGGCCCGAGCACTTGTCTCATGCATACCACCTGGGCTGATCATCTGTTTCACCCTAGATAATATACATGCTGTTCTCTCAAAACATTGCACCCTCACCTTCTCCCACAGAGTCCAAAAGTCTGTTCTGTACATCTGTGTCTCTTTTTCTGTTTTGCATATAGGGTTATCATTACCATCTTTCTAAATTCCATATATATGTTAGTATGCTGTAATGTTCTTTATCTTTCTGACTTACTTCACTCTGTATAATGGGCTCCAATGACCCAATCAAAAAATGGGCCAAAGAACTAAACAGACATTTCTCCAAAGAAGACATACAGATGGCTAACAAACACATGAAAAGATGCTCAACATCACTCATTATCAGAGAAATGCAAATCAAAGTTACAGTTTTAGATCCGATGCTGTGGGTAATACTTTGAAACCATCCTTGTGGGTCTAGCCTGGATAATTTGTTCAGCTAAAGTTTCCAAATTAGTGGAAGAGGGCAGATGTTTAGAAAAAGTTTCAAAGATTTTCTTTTGCAGTAATTGTACATTCAGAGAGTCATTATCATGTAAATGAAATTTGATTTGTTCCCAGCTGTAGGTACTATGATTGAACTGAACAGGAGTAACACAAAATTGGCAATTAATACAAGTTACAGCACATAAAGTCTTATTAAATTGTAAATTCCGTATGGCTGTCACAAAAGCAAGTGGGACACAGGCCTGTGTGTGACTGATTATAGCACAAGAAATAGTTACTATGACCACGACCGGCCCCTGTGAAACATCCGGTCCGAGTCCCAAGTTCTCTGGTGCTGGCAGCAAGTTTCCATATGTTTTATATGCCTATAGTTCAGGCCCAATTTGTTTATTGAGGATGGAGGAGGAGGGTGTCATTCCACTGTCAAGCCAGCCAAGAAGTCCTTTGTCATGGTAATGTTTCAATGTAGTGTTAGTAACCTTTTACGTAATCTTTTTTGTTCTTTCCCTAACTCTTTCCCTAAAGTTTTAGTAGAAAACACGGTTCACAGACAGAAAAAGGGCAGCAATGTCCTCAAGTCTTCTTTTGGAGGTAGGACGAGAGCCCAAGTTTGTCGGCCGACATTTATGCATAATTTTGCTGGGCCCATATACAAAGGAAGGACTTAATAACCTAAAGAAATGTTAATTAGTTGTCCCTCCTCCCCAGGGTGTGGGTTCCAGGGAGGGGGCATATGGGTGGAATCATTGGTTGATTCGCTGGGTCTTTTCTCCGTCCATTTTATGACCTGAAATAAATGGGAGTTGGGTAAGTAAGTTAGTTAATCCGGCTTGAGAGGGGTCGTGCAGGCCAAGTCGAGCATAGTGATAAGGTTTTCAGGACTCTGAGGCATTTCGGGTTGAGAAATCAGATTCTTAACTTGATTAGTGAGGGTTTTTATTTGTCCCCAAGAGGGGATATCATAGGGTTGATGTCTCCAAGGGCAGTGCTTTCTGGAGATCTTTAGAGCCGCCATGGCCCGGATTGGAGTTTCTTCCTCCCGGGGTTCTTGTCGTTTCGTCTCCATTTTGAATGTCAGGGGCCCCCTTGGGTCGAATTTTCTGAGGAAAAAGTTTGTTGGATCCATCCGTGGAATCCAACTGGCATTTGTCACCAGGATCAGAGGTATCAATGGTGTGAGCCCAAAGGACCAGAAGGTGTGGCAGCGTCTTTGCCACCATGAGATCTTCAGTGGCGCCTGTGTGAAGCTCAACATGGCTTCAGTCAACATGCTGAGGACTGTGGAACCATATGTTGCATAGGAGGGGCACCCAAACCCCGCCGAGTTCCCCACCTCCAGTCGGGGACCCCACAGCTCCTGAGGCCGCCGTCACCGCTTTACCTTCCCCAGGGGCAGCGGCAACTAATCGAAACCCTCCACCCCACCCCTGAATCTCATTCTTGTCTTTCAGTGTAATGTAAAAAGTTTCCCTACTCCCATCCTGACTACATTAAAATGTCATTGTATGTGTTGAAGAAACAGATTTTAGAGAAATGTTTCTTTATAATAAATTATTTACTTTTAGCTCTCTCTGTTATTCACCAGCTTTTTTTGTCTCGAGTATTTGAAAATGATATATTTTCTACTGTGGGCATTACTTTAATCTTATGACATCATAATGCAGCCTAACTGTGGAAAATTAGGTAATTGACCCTATTCCTTCCAAAGGGAGATATAATATATGCTATAAAAATTATTTGGACATTCTGCCTACGTTTTTATTTTTTAAGTCTCTGTCCCGTGCTTTTAAATAAATTTTTCTGTTATTGGATTAAGCAATTGGTTTAAATTAATCATCCCCTAATCCACTACCTGTCAAAATTACCTGGGAAGCTTTTCAGAAAATATGAATTCACAGCCCAGTGATTTTGATTCTTTGTTGTCATCCTGCATAATATTTTAATACGAGTGAAAATTTTACACTTAACTCTGTATTTCCAAAATAAGATCATTAACACATTTGAACAGGGTATGTCCATATGACGATAATGATATTTGGCTTACCCTAACAGTTTTAACTGCATATTTCCAGTATTTCTTACAGAAACTAAATTTTTATTCACTGTATTTTCATTTTATATTTCACTGGAGTATAGTTGATTTACAACATTGTATTAATTTCAGGTGTGCCACAAACCCATTCAACTATACATATACATGCATTGGACTTCTCTGGTGTCTCAGACGGTAAAAAAATCTGTCTGCAATGCAGGAGACCTCGATCTGTGGGTTGGGAAGATCCCCTGGAGGAGGGAATGGCAACCCACTCCAGTATCCTTGCCTAGAGAATTCCATGGACAGAGGAGCTTGGCAAGCTACAGTCCTTGGGGTCCCAGAGTCGGGCAAGACTGAGAGACTAACATGCACACACATACACACATAGATTCTTTTCCCATATAGGTTATTACAGGGCATAGAGCAGAGTTCCCTGCGCTATGGAGTAGGTCCTTGTTAGTTATCTATCATATATATAGTACTGTGTGTCTGTTAATTCCAAGATCCTAATTTGTAATATCCCTCCCACCCCATGTTTCCCCTTTGGTAATCATGTTCAGTTCAGTTCAGTCAAACTGAACTGAATATCTGTCGAGTTGGTGATGCCATCCAACCAGCTCATCCTCTGTTGCCCCCTTCTCCTCCTGCCTTCAATCTTTCCCAGCATCAGGATCTTTTCCAGTGAGTCAGTTCTTTGCATCAGGTGGCCAAAGTATTGGAGCTTAAGCTTCAGCATTAGTCTTTCCAATGAATATTCAGGACTGATTTCCTTTAGGATTAACTGGTTTGATCTCCTTGCAGTCCAAGGGACTCTCAAGAGTCTTCTCCAACACCACAGTTCAAAAGCATCAATTCTTCAGTGCTCAGCTTTCTTAATAGTCCAGCTCTCACATCCATACATGACTACTAGAAAAACCATAGGTTTAACTAGTCGGACCTTTGTTGGCAAAGTAATGTCTCTGCTTTTTAATGTGCCGCCTAGGTTGGTCGTAGCTTTTCTTCCAAGAAGCAAGTGTCTTTTAATTTCATGGCTGCAGTCACCATTTGCAGTGATTTTGGAGACCAAGAAAATAAAGTCTCTCACTGTTTCCATTGTTTCCCCATCTATTTGCCATGAAGTGTTGGGACCAGATGCCATGATCTTAAGTTTTTTTAATGTTGAGTTTTAAGCCAGCTTTTCCCCTCTCCTCTTTCACTTTCATCAAGAGGCTCTTCACTTTCTGCCATAAGGGTGGTGTCATCTTCATATCTGAGGGTGATTGATATTTCTCCCGTCAATCTTGATTCCAGCTTGTGCTTCATCCAGCCCAGCATTTTGCATGAGGTACTCTGCATATAAGTTTAGGCAGGGTGACAATATACAGCCTTGACATCCATACTCCTTTCCCAACTTGGAACCAGTCTGTTTTTCCATGTCCAGTTCTGTTACTTCTTGTCCTGCATACAGGTTTTGCAGGAGTCAGTTAAGGTGGTCTGGTAATCCCATCTCTAAGAATTTTCCACAGTTTGTTGTGATCCACACAGTCAAAGGCTTTAGTGTAGTCAATGAAGCAGAAGTAGACGTTTTTCTGGAATGAGTTTGTGATTCTGTGTATTTTAAGATGGGGACTCAGTAGTCACTTGCAGATAGCACTCACTAGAGAAGATGATGGAGTGCTATTTCCCAGGACAGCCACAGTCCAGCAGGAAGAGGTCTTAGTGGCTTTGACACCACTGGCCGCTGCCCCTTACAACGAACTCTTCTCACTGTCCTGCTTTTCCTCTTCTCCCTACTGGCCACTCCTATTCTGTCTCCTTGCTTGGTTGCTCTTTGTCTCCCTTTGCATGATTGTCAGTATTCACCATGATTCTGTCCTAGGTTCTCACTAGATAGTCTCATCCACAAGCAATGACTTCATTGATGGGTCTTTTACCTAGAATTCCAATATCTGT